CACAACAACTCGTCAGAGAGACAAGTGAAGCCGATCCTTTGACCAAACGTGTGCTAAACAGTTGTGGTATTTCCCCTTCGGCCCTGGGCTATTCACATTTCCTATATTATCCTATCATGCCCTCACTGTTACAATATTTACCGTGCATATTTCGATGTAGTGTGGTGTGCTCGTTTGAGCAGCATTCATGAAAACCCTTCAGACTCCAAGCTGTCGTTTTCACTCCCTTTACTCTTGTGCTGGGAATGTTGATCACAGTATGCCATATTGTTACACAGTTCTCGTTCCTTAGGTCATACCACAGTCTCTCTCTTGCCTTGTAAGATCCGTCTGCCATTTCCCTGGTTCACCTATTCCACACGACCCCTGGCACTCAATCTGTGCCAGTGAAGGTGTGATAGGTGGATTTAGGAAATATGAATAGCCAAGGGCAGAAGGGGAGATACCACAACTGTTTAGCACACGTTTGGTCAAAGGATCGGCTTCACTTGTCTCTTTGATGAGTTGTTGTGTGGTGCTAAGACTGTCGAGATTCACTGGCGATGCCGTCCACGATGCCGGCGAAGCGTCTGGAAATGTACCACGTCCACGGTCCGAGTTTGGAAATGATCATGCATACAATGGACTCCAGACTAGGTGCGTTTATCTAAGTCTTCCTACCAATATGACCAAGTTGCGAAAACAAGGTCAAACAACCTCTATATAACCAAAGAAGACTGCGACCACACAAAAGACCACACCATCTTGGTCTTCATACCTTCGTAGTACCGTGGAGTTGGTACGTTCCCAGACATTTAGCTGGCACCATAGTAAGCACCGTCACTGATTCTTTTTAGTCTTAGCACCACACCACAACTCGTCAAAGAGATAAGTGAGGTTGATCCTTTGAGCAATTGTCTGGTGAACAGTTGTGTTATCTCTTCTCAAGTAACAGAATTCACTTGTCTCTTTAACGAGTTGTAATGTGATACTAAGACTTGCAAGACTCGCTGACGATGCCGCCGAAACTTCTAGGAGTGGATCAAGTCCACGGTCCGACTATGTAAATTATCATGCATACTATGGACTTAGTACAAGCTTTCTTCTTCTAAGACTTCCTGAAAAAAAAACAAAGCTGCGAAAATTAGGTCAAACAACTTCTATACAACAGAAGGAGACCCAAACCATACTAAAGGCCACACAATCTTAGTCTTTAATAAGAGTGACCATGTTATTATTCAAGAATTACTGATTGCCTCGAAAGCTACTCGTATCGCAACTGTGCAATTCCTTATTTCTATTAAGTTAAACAGTGGTTTTTACTGTCGAATGGAGCGTTCACGTGAAATCTGATTTATCAGACAATAAAACGACTGAACTACAACGGGAATCAGCAGTCTTCTGTTGAGATCGATCTACAAATTTCTTCATACACTTTCATACGAAATGAGAGTCTTCACATTCATATTATCTCGGGATATTCTTCGAAATGCGCCCTTTCTCCGCATAAACAACAACAACAACAACAACAACAATAAAAGGAGTTGCCCTCAACGATGGTCGACCCAAAATGCCTAAGGGTGACAAGTGACGCAAGGTAAGAATACGTGAAAACGGCCTTTAACCTGTTCTGCAAAGTGTTCCTGTCGCTGTCCAGTCACTTCGGTCGTGTCAAGGTCTCCGGACTGTTGGCTTCGTCGGCGTGTCGGTTGCAGTGAAACTCCTATCACCGATTCTGTCCCACTAGAGCTCCACTGGTCCATGGCGACAATCCGAGCCCCTGGGCCCAACTGTGAATCGGACAACAAGAGTGTGTTGATATCCTCCGCATCAAAGTTCATGTTGGCGAAACCCTCGCCGACAGGCAGTTTCACGGCACCTCGAGCCAGCGCTGCCGTTCTGCAGGTGCTGGACGAACTAACCGATGCAGTGGCCGACGAAGTCGCCTCGGAGCCACGAAGAAGCCCAGTGGAGCCGGTCGGTTGCAGTCGCCCTGACGACTGTCGCTGTACTTTGGCATACTTTTAGGTCAGACGAACAAGGGTCAGGTGTAGAAGAAAGTGAGAGATTGCTTTCAATAAGGACATTCAAGGAGTCGC